CAAACAACAGTGTGGTGTATGTCGGAGTGGGGGGGGTGAGCTGCGGGCACAGAGAGGGGGAATTGGGGGACATCTGTAATAGTGTCAACATTAAAAACAAAAGAAAAAGACAAAAAAGAAAATCTATGTTGGTCATTTTTAGTCAAGGTCACTAAACAAAGAAGTAACACTTCTAGGTTGAGGCTGATTTCAATAATAATTCCTTCAAGTCTTGTGCAGTCTCCTCCCCTCTTCTCTCTGGGTGGCCCCTGAGTCCCCTGTGGTAATCCTACACGAGAATATGCCATGGAGGACTGCCTCTCCACCTAACAACTCACACCCTGAAATGTCCAAGCAGCATGATCTATGAATAGCTCCAAAGTGGGAACAACACAATGGTGACATATTTATAGCAGAATAATCAACTGTGATTTAGTTCTTCAGTTAAATAGGACTCAGCAATAAGAATGAACTACGGCTGCATGCTACATCACCGATGCAGCCATGAGCCCCATAGGCCTGAGCAGCAACATTGAAAAAAACATATGACACCCTTCTCTTCCACAAAGTTCAGAATCAGACCAGCAAGCAGCTGGCAATGCAGGCCGCCACCTGAGGTGGGAGGGAGGATGCGTATGCAGACATGTGGTGCTGCACCTGCTCAGAAATGACACTGTGAAGCCCTGAGAGTGGGAAGGTTATCGCGGATGAGGATAAGAAAGGACCGCACTGGTGATTGAGCCTCAAGAATCACTCAGATGGGCCACCAAGAGAGACAGATGCACAAGATTGATTGGGGGAAACCATCAAAAATTACTTCCCAGCCAGCATGACTCAGTGGTTGAGCATCGACCTATGAACCAGGAGATCATGGTTTGATTCCCTGGTCAGGGCACATGCCTGGGTTGCGGCTTAGTACCCAGTGTGGGGTTTGCAGGAGGCAGCTGATCAATGATTCTCTCTCATCACTGATGTTTCTATCTCTCTCTCCCTCTCCTTTCCTCTCTGAAATCAATAAAAAAAAATAACTTAAAAATTTACTTTCTATGACAAGAGAAAGTCCTTGAGAAGAGTAAATATGGATAATGGTGGCTGATAAGCCCAAGACTTCTTCTACTGTTGCAACCCAGAGAGTCCCCATGGGCCCAGGCGAGGAGAGGAGGTGCTGCGTGCTCACTCACAGCTGAAGCAGCTCGGGCAGAGTGACTATGGCCTCCAGGCCATGCATGTGCTTGTGTGTCAGGACTGCAGCTGCTGTGGATACATCCCTACTCCTTGTTATTGGAAGGGAGGCAATGGACACTCGGGAGGCCAGGGACCAAGCCACATCCTATAGCTCCATACACCACTCACTGAGCAAATGTTGATGTTAAATTCTAGAAAAACCTCTCGAGTAGGACTTTAGCTAGACACATGCAAGCACGGTTAAACCGATCACCAAGGAACACTGTCAAGTCAAGCCCTCTCCCTCTTGCATGTAGCTGGCCAAGGAAACAAGTTGGTATTAATAGAATCAAGAAAAAACGGTCTTGCTAAGGTGCACAGCAGCATTTTACATGGGTCTTCAAGCACCTCCCCTCGCCCCCTGGCAGTTTAAGCTGTGCCCCAGGTTATGATTACAGCTTTTCGGTCTCCCCGGGTGTGTTCCCTCCCGTGGGCAATGGTAAGCTCTGCACGGCGTCAGGAGAGCAATGTGTGTACATAAGTCTGAAGGCCTTTGATCAGTGTAAGAATTCAGCCTCTGCAGATAATTTTAAAAGTTACCTGATAAAAATATACATAAACGTCTTATTTTCATATCAAAGTATTTATAACAAACCACCTAAAGGCTGAAAATCACAAGCACATGACTATAAAGATTGAGCAATCAGGTTTGGTACAGGAACACCTGTTTTCCAGAACTTTGGTGGAGAACATGTCACTGTTAACATGGCACTCCCCATGCATTCCACATCTGATAACATGGCACTCCACATGCATTCCACATCTGATAACATGGCACTCCACATGCATTCCACATCTGATAACATGGCACTCCACATGCATTCCACATCTGATAACATTGCACTCCACATGCATTCCATGTCTGATAACATGGCACTCCCCACACATTCCATGTCTGATAACATGGCACTCCCCACACATTCCATGTCTGATAACATGGCACTCCCCACACATTCCATGTCTGATAACATGGCACTCCCCACACATTCCATGTCTGATAACATGGCACTCCCCACACATTCCATGTCTGATAACATGGCACTCCCCACACATTCCATGTCTGATAACATGGCACTCCCCACACATTCCATGTCTGATAACATGGCACTCCCCACACATTCCATGTCTGATAACATGGCACTCCCCACACATTCCATGTCTGATAACATGGCACTCCCCACACATTCCATGTCTGATAACATGGCACTCCCCACACATTCCATGTCTGATAACATGGCACTCCCCACACATTCCATGTCTGATAACATGGCACTCCCCACACATTCCATGTCTGATAACATGGCACTCCCCACACATTCCACGTCTGATAACATGGCACTCCCCACTCATTCCACGTCTGATAACATGGCACTCCCCACTCATTCCATGTCTGATAACATGGCACTCCCCACACATTCCACATATGTTAACGTGGCACTCCCCATGCATTCCACGTCTGATAACATGGCATTCTCCATGCATTCCCCATCTGATAACATGTTACTCCACATGCATTCCAATATGTTAACATGGCACTCCCCACACACCCCATGCTGGAGGTGCAGCGCCTGGAGAGCCTTCTCAGACTCAGCCTGTACCTCGTGTTGGGTTGTCTGTGGCCCACCTCCCCGCGGCCACACGCCTGCATTGCATGCCACTTATCTTCCGTGTGTGCCCTTGCCACCATTTGAGCCTCTCCGCAGTACTTGGCCCACAGGAACATTACCTGGGGGCTTTAGCATGAAGTATGCTGCAGACACACCAGCATGGCATGTGAAGGGATGGCCGTAATCTTCCATTTTCACTTCTAAAAAGGTTATGCCAACTGTGTAAACAGCATGTTCCTTAAAAGCAACGTGGGTTCTGTGAAAGAGTCGTCAATCATTAGTGCCTGAGTCATATCTTCCCCGACGTGTTTCATGACCCCTCGTCTGGAGAACCAGGTTCTTTTCTAAAGACACTCCAGCCGCCGTGCACCGACAAATACTCCCTGAGTAGTTCAGTGAGGTGTGTGCATGGTGTAGTTCTAAACGTGCATTCTCTTGGGGACAGTGCGACAGGGAAGTGTGGTTCTGTTCACTGTAAACTCCCATCCTCCACCCTAAAGGACTTCCCCTCTCCCTCTCTACTTACCCTAACTTATCTACGCTGCAAGGCCCAACACACGTTCCCTGCCCTCTGACCTCATGAGTCTTGTTCCACACCATGCAATTCATACCATCGTAAATGGGGCTCATGCCCTCAGTCAGCTAATGACCATGCACTGCTCCCCAAGGGTCCCTGTATTGCCACGTGTTTCCTGCTTAAGGCTGAAGGCCTCTGTTCCATCACGTGCCTGGGAATGAGACTGGTTTTCAGTAGCAGCTGACAGAAATTGATCGCATTCCAGCAGGCCACGCCTCCCGTCCACTTCATCTGGAACGAGGACGCAGGAGAGTGACAATCTTTGAACAGTTGCTCACCCACACATAGCACTGAGATCCTCAAGAGACAAAGCAAAAGGGGCGACGAGAAGGCAGGAACCTTCTCAGGCAGCAGAACTAAGCCAATCACTGAACTGGAGAAAGTGCCGCTGGCTCGCAGAGAAGCCAGGACAACAAAACACCTACTCGTTTCCTTCTTGGACCCGCTTGGACTCTTGGTAGTACACGTCCACCCAAGTGCTGCCGACTCTCCAGCAGCGCAGGTTGGTGTTGTCCCTGGAGTCTGTGATGGTGCAGTTCACAGTAAGGGTGGAGCCTGAAACCGCAGTCATAAACACTCCATAAAAATTCTACCCTAAGTGGCCTGCTTAACAAATACGCCCTGTTTTTGAGCCTTGACTACCTTCTCATCACCAAAAACACACTCCTGTGGCCAGTGCTGATCTGCTTTACTGGGCAGAGGTCACAAGGGACATGGGAGCTTGTGTCTTCACTGTTTTTCATCTATAGCGCCATCTATATTTTTTATGCCAGTATAATTTTTGATCTTTTGTGATTTCTTCCACTGATTTTATTTTCAAAAGTACATCATTTTGGCATTAGATTAAAAAAATTGTCTTTATTTTTTAATGTCACTTCTGTGGTTTCATTTATAAACTAGTGGCCTGGTGCACGGATTCATGCACATTGAAAAGAAATTAATTAGAAGAAATATTTTAATATCGCTATTTGCCCTTTCTCTATAATAGAAGTGTCAGAGATTAAAGAAAATTAGTAAAATCTATATGAAAATGATATATAAATTGATTAATAAATAAACAATAACAACATGATAAGTATTTACAACTTTAACTTTAACATCACATGCGCTTCAAATTCAAGAGAAAGCAACATATAACTGACCATGTCTGAAAACAGGTTCAGGCAGGAATATTTCTACTGTGTCTAGAGTTTCTCCTGTGATTTATTAATAGTCATCACAAATGCTAGCATCATGGAAAACTGTCTTCGAATTGATTTAAATGGGAGGCCAGTATCAGACAGGGACAAATATGACGCATGCGCAAGTCAACGTTTATTTTAAACTAGAGGTCCGATGCCCGAAATTCATGCAAGGGGCTTGGCCCTTGCAGCCATGGAGGCTTGCCTCGGCCCTTGCAGCCCTGGCTTCGTCCGGAAGGTTGTCAAGAAGGACGTCCAGCTGTCCGGTCTCATTAGCATATTACACTTCTATTATTATAGATCGCCAGTGTGTGTCTTATGTACCAGCTGGTCAGTCGGTCAGACAGATGGTCAGTTACTTAGCCTTTTATATATAGAGATATTTCTTTAATTCATCAAAAATGTATTTTTGTGTCTGTTATAAGATAAAGAATAAACTACATAGTCTTCAAATTTAACAAGTTATATTAACTTCACATATATACTATATTTCTC